GATTCCGACATGGCTGTGAGGATATGCTTGGTCTGCGCGGAGGGTTTGGAGGACGGCGCCGTGCCGTCGATCGATCTAACCCTGCTTGGGATTTTGCGTCGATCTGCCAAAGCAAATCAACAGCCGGAGCAGTGGATGTTACAGATCAATCGCGGGCGGAGGCGGTGGCAAAAAAATTTTGGGCCGGGATCGAAGATGGCTCTGATAACCAGTTGTGATGAACCGAGAAGATCAGATCGCACGAGATGGGAAAAGGGGGGGGGGTGATATTTAGCGAGGAAGGAGGGCAGCTTTACTTGTAGAGGAGGAAAGTTCAGAGTACAGGAAGAAAGAGAGGTGATCACACACAACACGCATGCCTCTCGCCCACGCAGGGGCTGGCTAAATATCACTCGACTCCCTAGGGCCCACTGATGACCTAGCCTAGCGATGACTTGTCCTTGGCTTCCCTATTGGTTGCTCTAGTCCACCGTGGCACTTGCAGGTGCAGGTGTGACACTTCGCCAAACAATCCGCAACTTCATTTGCCTCCCTTTTGCACCAGCAGAATTTAACTATGCCAAAACCTTTTGAAATCTGAAAACACTCCATGATTGTGGCGACATTGGGACCATAATAGTTCTCAGCATCGTTGATAACATCCATAACTAGGGAAGAATCATATTCCGCCATCACTTTGTTACATCCCAGTTGCTCTGCCAGAAGAAGAGCATTACGAAGAGCAAGCGTTTCTGCGGCTTCCATATCCGGTACGTGTGGTAAAAATCATGTTGCTGCGGCAATGAAGTGACCCCCTTCATCACCCAGAACTGCACCTGTGGCACATGATGCTGAGTCCTCATTGTATGATGCATCTACATTCAGCTTAGTAAAACCGTGAACTGGTTTGCTCCATTTCAGATCTTCGTTTACAATCAAAGATGAGATAAAAAATCAGGAGCAGAGTGCTCTAATGGAGGCTGCAGTTCTGTAGGATGTTTGGACTGCTTCTCCATTGACAGTCTGCCGACGCTGCCACCAGCAATACCATGAAGCGAAAGCCACCAGTTCAGCCTCCGGGTATCAGACTGGATATTGTTGGCCTCCTCAAACATTGACAGAGTCGGAACGATCACGAGCAACAGTTTGGTTAATCAGATCAAGGAGATCAAGCTCTTCCCAGACACGGTTCACCCTATGACATTTTAGTGGTTATTGAGTTTTTTCTTTTCTTTTAGCTGTTGGAGATGCTACTTGACCACAAAGCAAACGACATCGTGCATGCCCAGTCAGGAAGCGGACTAGATTACAAACCACACGAGCAGATCTGAATCCTCCGCGGTTCGTAGCAATCGGCTAAAGAACCCGTGTCCCTGCCGACCATTCTAGCAATACATGGAAGTGGCATAGAACTTTGGGTCAGAGTATCATACATGAAACTTGTCCGCAACAGTTCGATGCAGCGTGACAGTGGTACACTGTTTTTGCCTCTTAGAGCATGGACTTGGCAAATTCGGTCCCTCAAACGCCTGCGGGCGCATCCGGACGGACCTTCATATTTCATTCCGGACATCCAAATATTTCAAATCCAGACTCTCAAATCCATACAAATACATGAACGTCGACCATGCAACATAATATGGCACGTAAATAGCTATTGTTGGTATCAAACATAAGTGTTTACATAAAATTTATTTTAAGTGCCAAACTCAAGCATGTGCTCCACAAGATCATTCAGTAGCTACGTGTGCACCTGCTGATCTCGAAGATTCGAATGCATCTGCATAAAGTTCATAAGCTAAGCCGCATCTTGATCTTTCGGGATTTCAACTTGTTCTCCGGGTGCTTCGTAATCATGGGTTTGGGCTACACCATCACCCTCATTCTCGAAAATCATATTATGCAGAATAACACAACATGTCATCAACTGCCATAAAGTTTCTGATTCCCACATCATTGCAGCGCTCTGCACAATTCCCCAACGAGCCTGAAGCACACCAAATACCCTCTCCACGTACTTCCTAGCCGCTTGCTGCATTGTTGCAAAGTGGCTCTGCTTATTGCCACACGGCTCGGATATGGTCTTCACAAACGCCACCCACTGAGGATAGATATCATCGACAAGATAGTACCCTATGTTGTAGTCCCGACCATTAATGATGTAGTTGCATGACGGTATACCTGGCCATACCTCGGGCCGGGCCGGGCCTAGCCAAGCCCGACGCAAAAAACCCAGGCTCGGGCCCGGCCCGGCCCGACCAAGGGGCCTGTTTTTTGGGCCCGAGCCCGGCCCGACCTTCAGGAAAGCGCAAAAACGACGGGCCCGGGCCCGGCCCGGCCTGGCCTTCGGGCTCAAAATCTAGGCCCGAGCCTGGCCCGGGGGCAGCGTCGGGCCGGGCCGGGTCGGGCTTTTTCGGGCCGGGCCGGCCGGGCCGGGCTTCCCATGGCCAAGTATACACGACGGTGATTCCCCATTGCAAAGCCTCCTGAACACCCGTGATCGTTGAAGCACGTTGATGTCGCTGTGAGAACCAGACATTCCAAAGAAAGCATGCCAAATCCATAAGTCATGTGACGTCACTACTTCTAGTATGATGGTGGCCTCTCTGGTGTGACCTTGGTACATTCCCCGCAGACCTTTGAGGCAGTTTTTCCATTGCCAATGCATGCAATCAATTGATCCGAGCATTCCTGGAAGCCCCCTTGCCTCTTCAATAGCCAACAGCTTCTTTGTGTCATGCGCATTTGGTTCTCTGGGATAGTCCGGTCCAAACACCTCAACCACAACGCAGGGAAATTTGATAGTAGGATTCAGGCATGTGCTCTCCCTCATCCTGACCATCTCACCAACAACGTCTGCAGCAGTACCAAGTGCAAGCATCCTCAGAGCAGCCGCGCACTTCTGCTTGGCTTGGCCAAGAATGAGAGTTGGCCGCAGCAATACCTTCTCAGCTTGAAGTAGTCGTAGTGTGCCTCCACTCCTCCACAATGCGCAAAAACAATGGTTTTCGCATGCGAAAACGGCGGCGAAACCATGGATCATCCGGGGAAGCAGGTGTGGGAGCAAAGTAGTCATTGTGCAGTAGCTTTGCTCCGGACACCCTATCCCGGTTGATCACTATTCTCCTTTTGATTGAGCCATTGAAGTTGAGAATATGCTCCACTTGCCGGTCCATTTCCGGGTCAAAACATCGTGACCGGGCAGCCCGTCCGGGCGTATGAGGCGGGTTTGAGAGGTCCGGTTGTACATGCTCTTGTATCTTCGGAATATATTGGGCAACTCTAACTGATCCCCTATAAGCTATTAGATGAGTAAAATTTGGGTTTTACTCTTTTAAACCATACCTAGCCTATCTCTAATAGCAAAAATTATCCTCAGCCGCACATGTCGCCCCTATATTTGCTCGGTTGCTATTGCTTGAAGAAAAAACTCTTCTCTCCTCCGTCGCCTCACCTACCCTACTCCCACGCGGCATCTATGCCGGCGCCGTCCTTCCCACCCCTCGCCGGCCACCCCCGGCCACCGCGGACGGTCCGTAGGCTCCGCCGTGGTCCTTGACCACCCGGATTTGTGCCTCTCTCACCTCGTCCTCTGCGCAGAATCGCTAGATCTTAGGCCGTCGTCACCGGATTTGACGCATTCGTCCGCTGGCGACTGCGCCTTTCTCATGGATTGCCCAGGTATCGGGCCACATAGCCCTGGCAACGTCTTCGCGCTGCAAGCAGGTATTGACTCCGCCGCTAGCCGCTTGGATCTAACTCATCGGCGGTCCGTCGGCAAAGACACGGTCGTCCGTCACCTGGGCTCTGCACTGGCCCATCAGCTCGTCAGCTCCCTGTTATCGGTCATAAAGTGCGACTGCCCACGGCAGGTGGTGTGCCGAGTTTTCACCCCGGATGGGTGTTCTTCGAGTGTAAAAAAGATAGGGTATGTGTTTTCTTAATTTGGTTGTTCACCGGATTCGACACAATTTGTAGCAATGAAATTTGTTTCGATGGCCGAAAGTGAAATGCAAATAATGTTTTGCTACTTTATATATAGATGATCGGCCACGTTCGGTCAAAACTTTTAGTGGAGTAAAAATACGGGATCGGTTAGAGTTGCCCTAACATTCTTAGCTCGACTAATCACTCCTCAAAAAAAAGTTCGACTAATCACACTTGGTCGAGCTCGACCCAAACAGAAGTACAACAACTTCTACTAAAACGAAAGGTGAGAGCGCAACGATTCCCGCGTCTGAGCAGCGAACACGAGATCCGTAGCGCAGTGGCCGACCAGCTCCGTAGCCTCGCGAGTCTCCATTCTCTCGGTTTCCCAGTCGCCACCCTCCCGAAACCGCGAGGCTCCAAGTCAACAGTCCCACACTCCCACTCGCCACACGCCTCCGCGCTCCCCGACCACCGTCATGCCACTCCCGTCCACCCAACTCCACCGCCGCCTCCTCCTGCTCCTTCTCGCCGCCGTCGCCTGCACGGGGCTGCCCGGCGCCGCGTCCAAGCCCACGCTGCTCGAGCCCTGTGCCTCCGCCACGGCCTGCCCCGCGCTGCTCTCCTACACCCTGCACGCCGACCTCAAGCTCGCCGAGCTGGCCGCGCTCTTCGCCGCCGACCCGCTCGCCATCCTCGCCGCCAACGCCATCGACTTCGCCGTCCCGGGTCCGGCCGGCCGCATCCTGCCGGCCGGCCTCGCGCTGCGCGTGCCGGTCCCCTGCGCCTGCTCCGGCGGCGTCCGCAGGGCCACCTCCGTCCGCTACGTCTCCCGGCCGGGGGACACGCTCGCCTCCATCTCCTCGCGCGTCTACGGCGGCCTCACCGCCCCGGACTGGATCAGGGACTCCAACGGCATCCCCGACGCCGACGGCGCCGTCGACGCCGGGACCGCGCTGCTCGTGCCGCTGCACTGCGCGTGCTTCGGCGGGGTGGACAACGGGGTGCCCGCCGTGTACCTCACGTACGTGGTGGCCAAAGGGGACACCGTGCCCGCCATCGCGAAGAGGTACCAGACCACGGCCACCGACGTGATGAGCGTCAACGACATGGCCACCGCCGACGTCGCCGCCGGGGACATCATCGTCCTCCCGCTGCCAGGTGAGTCGTTTTTGTTGCCTCTTCTCGGAGATCCGGAAAATTTTGGTTTTGTTTGTTCTGCTTTGGTAAGAGAACTGACAACACTGCACGTACGTAGCTCCGTGGTTGGTTGGTCAGATCCGATGTTTGCAGACAAAATTGGTCGGTAAACATCTATATAGTTTACTCACGCATTCTAGTCGACAGACACCGATGCCATTCTGGCAAAAACCATTGTTGTGGCAATCTAGCTCTAGACTAATCGATCATCAGTGTCCATGAACAACTGGATGTTTGCACTTGAAATTTCAAACGTACTCCCTCAGTCCCATAATATAAGAACGTTTTTGGCACTAGTGCCAAAAACGTTCTTATATTATGGGACTGAGGGAGTAGTTTGGTTTGGCGATACTACAACGTGTACTTATGCCAGGTTTAGTTGCTGTGTTTGCGCAATTGCACGGGTGCTCCGTGCATTGAAAAAGACCGTGCGTGCTTTTTCTTCACGGCAGCTTTTGGTCTCTGAATCCTCGTTGCGGCCTGTTCCGCGTGCCGGATTCAGAGAAAACCGCTCGAAACATTTTGAAAATCAAGTATGCCGGATTCAGAAACAGACATATGAGCCATTTAAAATCCCCCACACCGAATCTCGAACAAAAAACCCCCATAGTTGCCCTCGAATACCAAATAGCTAGACGTGTGAAGTTTTGCAGAAGCAAACAATTCAGAGTCATACTGGTAGCAGTGCTCTGACCGTCAGTTTTCCTGCCATTTTGTTCATCATGTTACCCCAATTGCCCATTGATAAAATGATGGGGTATGCAAACCTCATCTGTCTTTTCTGAAGAAAGCGAGGACAGAATTGGATCCATCACTATTCCCAGATACTCTGTCAGATCATGGGCTAACAGGACGAGGATAGCATAGATTTATTAACCAATGGCTAGTTTTTTTGATAGTAATTAACCAATGACTAGTTACTATAATTACTAGTCGGCAAACAGGACGAGGATATGCATGATTTTCCCACATTGTCCTCATCTCTAATCTTGTCATTGCAACTTACCCTACCATCTGCTGCTTACTGACAATCTGACATCCTTCCATTTTCGTGTCTCTGTACAGCGTGCACCTCGTCGTTCCCCACCTTCACGTCCGACCACGGGCTGGCCGTGGCGAACGGGACCTACGCAGTGACTGCCGACCGGTGCGTCCAGTGCAGCTGTGGTCCGGCCAACTTGGAGTAGGCACCATCGTGGACTTGTCTTCGTTCAACCATCTTTTTTACAAGTTTTATTGCTGACGCCGTCGCTCGATCCTCGCCGCAGGCTGTTCTGCGTGCCGGCGCCGCTGGCGGATGCGGCGTGCTCCAGCATGCAGTGCGGCAACAGCAGCATGATGCTCGGCAACTTCACCCTCGTCATGACCGGCGCCGGCTGCAGCGTCACCTCCTGCGGCTACGGCGGCTACGCCAACGGCACCATCCTCACCACGTAACTCATCCATCGCCATGCCATGTCATGTCACCAAGCGAAACTCCATCACGTTCTGCGATTCATTGACGGTTCCGTTTCATCTTTGCGTCTTTCTTTCAGGTTAACCAGGGCACTCAAGCCCCTGTGCCCAGGTATTTTCCCGTAACTGTAACCACTACTCCAGTGCTGGTCGTTGGCTCAAACATCGTGCTGTTCTTGTGTGCAGTCCCGCACCAGTTCCCGCCGCTGATCCCGCCGCCGACGTCGTCCTTCTTCGAGACGTACCTCGGCCCTTCACCGGCGCCGAAGCCGTCGGAGGGGGGAATCAAGAGTCCGACGATGGCTAGGACGGCACCAACGGCCAGCACGGACGCCGTCGCCGGTGCTCCTCCCACGGGCCGGCACTTCAGCGACGTCTTCGGAGTGCTCGCGCTTTGCCTTGTCACCAACATGCTGTGGTGACTGACCACCGAGCAGCCGAACGCGCGTGCGGACGGGCTGCTTCGATTCGAGTTATTCTTTTTGTACAGGAGCAGCCGGCTCTTTTGCAGGGGCTGCTCCGTGCCAAAATTTTGTTGCTGCTCGTCTCATTTGTGGTTCTCTGTGAAATTGAAAGCAGTCTCGCTGAATTGACTCTCGCTCAGTTCGTCTGATTCGTTCAACGAGATCAAAATGTAGGAACGAGCAGCGTAAGCGAAACGAGAAAATGGCTCTCAAACTGGACTTCCAAACAAAATACTGCTAATATTTTTTTCTCGATAAAGTGTGCTCTTTATTAACTCATAGTGTGGCATCAAGCGATACAATTAAATACTGCTAATATTATATGAACAGGTAGAGTGATGATTGATATGCAATGCAATATACCCCCAAATTTGTTATATTCAAAATCCCTTCAAGGGTAATGCATTAAGAAAGGGCCCCATTAGCCAGCGAACATTGGGAGTACCTAGAACTCATCTAGATGAGATATAATTTAGTCTCATTTACTTTGAAAACAAGAACATATACAACTCACGTTAGCACACACGCATCTTATAGCATCACATTCAATGTCTATAAAAGGTGAATTAGACCAAATTATATCTCATCTAGATGAGTTCTAGCAAAATTGGTGAACATTTGCTATGGGACATTGCCAATTGCAAACGTTTTGTATGGCAAATTCTTCTGAAGCACATGGCAATTTGTTCACAAATTCATGGCAATTTTTGGCAAACAAAGGATTTTGTGCGAAAATTGCCCTGTTCGCTTGAAGAATTGCCATGCCCCTAACACATAGATTGCCGCAAAAAAACATCCGGTTCGACACGCATCCCCAATGAATGTTCGTTTTGCCAAGCACCCCAATGAACGTTCGCTGAATAGCATTACCCGTAAAAAAAGAGAGAGAAAATTACATAAACACACAATTTTTAGGGCTGACATAACACAAAACTCTAGTAACAAGACACACATAATTGCTCTGATTAGTCATTTAATGTGAGATATGCTGAGCGGGTCCCACTTTTCAGAGACAGGAGGAAGGGTTTGCTCAGCTCTCTACAAATTTCAAATTTTAAAAAGACAGAGATATAAAAAACAAAAAATGCAAAAAAAAAACAGTAGTTCTAATCAACTTTCACTAATCAATTCTGAAATTTGGCTCAAAAGTCATCACTATTTTCCATTTTTTATGAAAAAAACAAGTAATTAAGTCCATCTTCGTGAACCAATCATGAAAAATTTTCAACCTATTTTGCCTAGTCGTTTTACAATTTGGATTTTTTTTGTAAGTCACACTCATACAAAAGTTCTCCAGACTTTAAAATGACAGTACAATATGGTCTGCAAATTTCCTACATTTATAATTGAGAATGGATTAAATTACTAGATATTTTCCAACTTTTTGAAAAGTTGCGAAATCTCGAGCCAAATTTGACCGAAACATATATGATTTGTCCAAAGATTAAAATGGTTGGGTAAAATGGGCTAAAAGTTTGTCAGACTGAACAGTGAACATGATTTGAATTATTATTAGAAAAAAAATCAGATTTAATAAATTTGCTTAATTTTATTTAGAAATTTTGAGAAAACCTGATTTTTATATTTAAAAAATTAAAATAAATTAGAAAGTTGAGCTTAGCTCGTCGTAATTAGCATTAAGCGACTAACTAGATAAAACATGTGTTTTATTAGTACTTAGTCTTGATCACTGATTTATCAAACTAACAGATGTTTCAATCTTGATCATTGTTCTCAATCGCCTGATACTACAGTAGTGTAGAGTAGACTACGACTGGAATTAACACGTGAAGCTTGCGAGCAAAATTATTTGTCGGTGCAATAATTTGCCTCCTTATGTTTTGAAGATTGTTGTCATAAACAGTATGTGACTAATGTGTTTGCTAGTACATACAGAGTGACAAGCCTCTGAAGTCATGTGGAATTTGGTACACACGCCGAAGATAATCTTCTACGACCAGCGAAGATTATCACCAAAGATTATGTCAGTCGAAAGTGACCCCCCAAATTGCTGACGTGAAGCAATTGGTTCGGTAACTGTTCAAAGAAATTGACCGCGGTCGAGAAGTTGAAGAAGCAAAGACTTAGCATTTGTTTCATCATTCTTGTTTCTCTTTCTTGAGTCATAGGACCACCGTACTATTAAGAGGGTTATAGTGTTCGAAACTTACGGTTTGCTCATGCTAAACCCAAAACCTATGTGAGCTAAGAGAAATCTCTTTGTGTTTAGAATTTATACTCACCAGCAAGAGACGAAGTTTCTCTTTGCTGCGAGAGACTTGATTCGGACCGAGGAGTTAGCATTACGTGCTCCACAAGTAATGTTACCATTGCGCTAAAAATACCGACCGTTGGTTATGTGTCGGTTGGGCATTGGCTGAGTGGTCATGTCCAAAATGGTCTTTTCCCATCGAAAAGACCGTGGCTATAAATATCCCATCCCTTCCAACGTCCACCGTTGGATGCTCCGTGTGATTCCAAGAAGGCTGTGTGAGCACCCCTCTCTGAGTGATTTCAGTTTAGAATCCGCCAAGAGAAAATAAATCTAGAGCCGAAAAAATAGATAGTGGTTAGCACCACTCGAATCTAAGTCCAGTACGATTTGCCTATTACTCTTGAGAGTTGCGAACTCTCTAGATGGCTAGGTGTCAAGTCTTTCAGTAATCAAGAGTAATTGTGGTTCATGAAGACAAAGTCTGTGAAGGTTTGGAGATCACCTCAACTATCGACCATGAGTGGTCGACACTGATTGATGAATCGGTTTTTGAGGAGAATCGGGCGAACAGAGGTTATCTTCTATGTTCAATCACGAACCCCTCCAACAAGATGCAGTCATTTTGCAAAAGGGAGATCTGGTCTACCAAATCATTCGTCGCCATCGAGCAACACTGGTCACTTCTTCACTCTGTTTACATTCGTTCATCTATTGTGAATTATGTTTCGACCATGTGATAAATTCGCGATGCTTGTGGTAGTTCTCCTTCGGTAGTTGTATCTTGTTATTTGTTCACTGTTTATTTTCATTTCGCTTGTGGTAATTCTCGTTCGGTAGTTGTATCTTGCTATTTGTTCACTGTTTATTTTTGTTCCACTACTGGATTCTGAGATATTTGAAGTTTCTGAAAGAAATTTTAATTCTCCCATTGACCCCCCCCCTCTGGTAGGTGTACTTCATTCCTACACTAGTAGATCATGACTGGGCTCAAACTCTTTGACTAACGAGTTGAGCCGAGGTTTAATCTGACCTCGTTAACATAATGAGTTCAAGAAGCTAGGCTAAGTTTCTGGTTTGACTCATTAACACAAGGACACTATTAGGGAAAACCTTATACACCGAACTTTAGCAGTAGCGCGTGTCAAAAAACCACGCTAGTGCTAAGTAGCAGTAGCGCGTTGGCGTAAACCGCGCTACAGATAAAATTGTAGCAGTAGCGCGCCTGAAGATAAACGCGCTACTATTAAAATTCCCACTGCTTAGCCGATAGGCTGCTGATACGTCTCCGTCGTATCTATAATTTTTTATTGTTTTATGTCAATATTATTCAACTTTCATATACCTTTGGCAACTTTTTATACTATTTTTAGGACTAACATATTGATCCAGTGCCCAGTGTCAGTTCCTGTCTGTTGCATGTTTTATGTTTCATAGAAAACCCATATCAAACGCAGTCCAAATAGAATAAAAACGGACGGGGGATATTTTTGGAATATTTATGATTTTTGGGAAGAAGAATCAACGCGAGATGATGCTCGAGGGGCCCACGAGGCAGGGGGTGCACCCCTGACCCTCATGGACACCCCGTAAGGCGGTTGCTGCTTTTCTTTTGCCGAAAGAAAGCTAATATCCGGAAACAAATCGCGTTGAAGGTTTCAATCCAATCGGAGTTACGGATCTCCGGGAATATAAGAAATAGTGAAAGGGCAGAATCTGGGAACGCAGAAACAGAAAGAGACAGAGAGACAGATCCAATCTCGGAGGGGCTCTCGCCCCTCCCACGCCATGGAGACCATGGACCAGAGGGGAAACCCTTCTCCCATCTAGGGAGAAGGTCAATGAAGAAGAAGAAGGGGGGCTCTCTCCCCCTCTCTCTTGGTGGCGCCGGAACGCCGTCTAGGCCATCATCATCACCGCGAGCTACACCAACACCTCCGTCATCTTCATCAACATCGTCATCACCTCCCCCCATCTATATTCAGCGGTCCACTCTCCCACAACCCGCTGTACCCTCTACTTGAACATGGTGCTTTATGCTTCATATTATTATCCAATGATGTGTTGCCATCCTATGATGTCTGAGTAGATTTTCGTTGTCCTATCGGTAATTGATGAATTGCTATGATTGGTTTAATTTGCTTGTGGTTATGTTGCAGTACTTTGGTGCCCATCATATGAGTGCAAGCGTGGATCACACCATAGGGTTAGTTGTATGTTGATAGAACTATGTATTCGAGGGCAAGATTGACAGAAGCTTCAACCTAGCATAGAAATTGATGCATACGGGATTGAAGGGGGACCAATATATCTTAATGCTATGGTTGGGTTTTACCTTAATAAACGTTAGTAGTTGTGGATGCTTGCTAATAGTTCCAATCATAAGTGCATAGAATTCCAAGTCAGGGATGACATGCTAGCAGTGGCCTCTCCCACATAAAACTTGCTATCGGTCTAGTAAAGTAGTCAATTGCTTAGGGATAATTTCGCAACTCCTACCACCACTTTTCCACATACTAACTTTATTGCGTATTTATCTAAACAGCCCTTAGTTTATATTTACGTGCTCTTTATATTCTTGCAAACCTATCCAACAACACCTACAAAGTACTTCTAGTTTCATACTTGTTCTAGGTAAAGCGAACGCTAAGCGTGCGTAGAGTTGTATCGGTGGTCGATAGAATTTGAGGGAATATTTATTCTACCTTTAGCTCCTCGTTGGGTTCGACACTCTTACTTATCAAAA